CCGAATTGCGTTGCAGTTGGTGAGAAAACGTCTAAATGGAAAAAGACATTTAGTTCAGAAAACAGCTGAAAAGGGAACGTAATCCCACCCCGCCGGACCATTTGATATCCAACAACTGCCTATCCATCCATTTATTCGTTCGTAAATCTGTCATTTTCATCCTTGTTTATTTGATCAATGGATCATGTTTACATTAATTTGACTAATTTGTTAGTAGAAATTGTACTGAAATAAATGAGACACCCAACGCACCCTATGTGGTTAACCCTTTTACTCCCAAGATCTCGTAAGTAATTCTCCTTACTGTCTCCCATACAATTCTTGTGATGTTAGTTGGGAGAATTTGGGTTTAGATCAACTAATATTCCCCTAATTGTATTTTTTTGTTCTCCTCACTTGTCTGCTTGATAATGTATTGATATTGTAAGGAGAAATTCTGTCTTAGTCACTGGGAGTTAAAGGGTTAAAAACCTACCATTCTATATGAAAGTACCCAATAGCTATGTTGCAAAAGAAACCGACCGTAATTCTTCCAAATATCCTCTTGAGATGGTGAGAAAATTCTAGTCAGAAAAGTTTGTTAGTCGCTGGTCTTCTACTTGTGCCTCACAAACCCTTTTTTTTTTTTCTTTTTTCGTTTTATTCTAAAATTGGTGGGGCGATATTAACCAGTAACTAGATTGGAAGTGTGGTCTATTCCTGATTCTAAAACGGCGAAGTACTTCTCCACCCTCTCACTAAATTTACCTAACGGCGTTTCTTAAACAGATAAAGAAATATTGACCACCATTTTACCTAGTGTTTTTTTCTTTTTTTTATCGGTATAGGATAACACATGGCTAAACCACCCTATGCAGAAACTATCAATTTCGTGCCTTTGTACTTACGCCATTTGCAGTTGATGTACTTATTAAGCTTCTCTTGTACCGTCTTGTAATCCGACTCACTTTTGGTCACTCTTTCTCTTAGCGCTTCTATTTCAGTTGAAAGCTCAGTTTTTTCTTTCCTTAACTGACTGAGCTCTTCTGGAACCAGTTGAGTGTTTGTGAGCTCCATTGATTTTTTGTTCTCGGCTTCTAGGTTT